TTCTCCACATAGGCCCAAATCTAGTAGTAGATTTTAGTAGGTTCTAAATAAAGTCCTATGTTGATAATCATAGTAACAAAAGGAACTTAAAAGGTGAATATTTTTCTTTCTCTTTCTAGGAAGTTATTGCCAGTGCCATTTTAAACAACAAAATACCAGAAGCACAAACCTTCTTCAGGATGAATAATCATTCTGCTCAAAGACTTGAGGAATTGATTAGGATAGGCCTCGATTTGGTCTTTGTCAATTTAAAAAAGAGCAATATACAGGAAGCCTTTGAACTTTTGAAGAATATGGTGAGTAGTGTAATCCATTTGTTTGATCCTAAGCCACTACTACTACTACTACTACTACTATGATTATTTTACTTGTCTACTTTGAGGTACTGGTGATCGAACTTGGGACCTTGTGCTTACCAGCAGGTACTTATTTCATAGAGCTATATCCTCAGCTCCTAGTTCTGCCATTCTGTTTTGGTTTTTTTAGTTAAATTTTTCTTTTCCTTTTTTCTTTTTTTTTTTTTTTTAATTTTGTGCAGGGTCTCACTGTGCAGCTCAGATTCGTAGTGATCCGCCAGTTTTCAGCCACCCTAGTGCTTGGATTACAGGTGTGCACCACTATGCCCAGACTCAAATTTTTCTTTTTAAGATTCCATATGTAGGTATGATCACATAGTACCTGTCTATATCTGTTTTATTTCATTTAGCATAATGTCCTCTGGGGTTTATCCCCATCGCGGCAAATGGTAGGATTTCCTTTTTCACTGAACTGTGTGTTTAGCCATGCTACCTTCTTGGTTGTAGATTTTTTTTTTTTTTTTGTATTGAAGATTGAACCCAGAACCTCATGTATGCTAAGCAAGTGTACTTCTACTAAGCAATACTCCCAGCCCAGTCCCAATTTTCTTTTGAGATTTAGGTCTCACTTAATTTACTCAGGTTGGGTGCGGACTTATAGTAATCAGTTTCCTCAGTAGCTGGGAAGGATTTACTTCTTTTTAAGACAAATATTTCGCTAGAGAAGGAAAAAGAAAGTGTTTATGATGGAGTCAGAGGAAGTTTCAGATTGAGGTGGTCATGTGTCTTCCCTCTCAGTCTGAGAGAACCCATGTTAACTGCCAAAATAAGGAGAAATCCTGTTAAACTTTCAATAGATTGCTTATACAGATTTGTCAGTAGTTACCCAGCTAGTGGCCCACTTCCATTTGGGAAAATACTGTTTTT